TCCTCCCCCACTGCACCCCCTGCCTCCCTCCATATCCCCCTCCCTCCACCCCATCACACACACACTCCCTGGCTCCCCCATATTCCCCTCCCTCCACTGCACTGTCCCTTGGTCCCCCTGCCCGCACTGCTCCTTCCATCACACTGCCTCTTGGGAACCTCCCCAAGCCTCTGTCCTACTGCTCCTCAAGGACACCCCCTCGCACTCTCCTGTGCTGGAGGAGGGCACAGTGCCTTATAGGGTGTGGCCAAGAACCTCTCCTGGCTTCCTGAGTCCCCAGTGCTAGCCCCACCTCTCCGGAGGCGGATTTCAAGGGGCCCAATACCAGGGGTGGAGGGTGACCCTCAGACACCCCCTCCTTTTGTTCCCTGTTTCTTAGACATCCCCTGAAAAACAGGCCTGAGCCCCCTCTCCCCTGCTCTTCCTTTCTCCCTCCGTCCTCACATCAGGGGCACCTCACAGATCAGAGCCCTAGAGGTCAGGGTCACCAGCCACTTCCTGCTGCTCTGCTCTAGCCTCCCCTATAGCTGGGCCCCAGTTTCCCCAACAGCTAGGGTGACACCTCCACACTGCAGCCCTTGGCAGAGGAAAGGGGGGACTAAGGATGAGAGCGTGGGAGAGCATGGGCAGCACTCCAGCTGCTTTGCCCCCGGCTTCCCCAAGTCCGCCTCTGGTCAGTTTCAGCAGCAGCGGACTTGGGGAGGCCACGGGCAGAGCAGCTCCAATTGTCCGGCTGGCCAGAGCACTTCCAGGTTCCGGTTGGTGCCAGACTATCAGGAGTGCCGGACCACTGGATGCCGGACAATTGGAGTTTTACTGTACATTGTTAAAGGTGTGGATGAGCTTGTCATTAGTGTTCCCTGTAAGCTGGGTGCTTGGGCAGCCACTCAGGAAAGATTTGAATGCCACCCAGTTTTAGAAGAGTGCTCATAGCCTTAAGCTGATTCTGCTGAATCGGGCCCTGCACCCGAGAGGGCTCTACACCCGGAAGTCGGCTGCTCCCCCTTGCCTGCGCACGCTGCCAGCTGCTGCTGCCATGCGCGTGTGTTTGCACGTGGACGGAGTGACACCCGGGCGTGATGTGACGTCGTCACGGCCCGGGATTTTTAAAACTGAAAAGTGCAGGTGGCTCGGACTCGGAGTCTGGCCCCGCATTGTAGAAGGCAGAAGGTAAGGTGGGGGAGGGGGGAGAGGCGCAGTCAGCTCTCAGCCACCTGCAGCCCGGGGAGCGGTGACTCACCCTGAGCACATGGAGCCGGGGTGCAAAGCAGCGTTGTGGGGCGCAGTCAAAGCAGGTGGGGTCGCGCTTCCCCCACGGGGCCCCAAGCAGCTTGCAGAGGCAGGCCTGGCCCAGCCCGGCCCCTGGCTGCCGTCTCTTACCTGAGGGGCTCCAGCACCAGGCTCTGCAGGCTGAGGCCAGGTGCGGAACCGGCCGCTAGCACGGCCACCACCCGTGGCAGGTTTGGGCGAC